GGCTGGCAAAGGGCCGCCACAAAGAAGGGGGCAGAAGGGGGTGTTTGGGTACAGACCTTGCCAGGACCCCACCTCGGTCCCTTCCTCTCCCTCCCTGAAGCTGGAATGGTTACTGTTCCAGAGGAACCCACTATGGTCAAGACAGTCATGGGTGGGACCAGCAGATGACATCTCTGGACTCTCACGTAGTCGAACGTGGTTCGAGTCCTGAACCTGGCAGCTTAAAACGCACACCAGGCATGTGTGCGTGGGTGCCCAAAATCCAAAGAGACTAGAGAAGAAGAGATTGTAGCATGGCCATCCTCGCTGAAGGGTGATTTCTCACTTTCTGTTTCTGTCTCTCTGGTGAGCACATGTGCCCTATAGCAAAATCTCTCCAAAAAAATTTTTAATAAGACAGTCATGAGTCCGCCAGGTGGCATGGTAATTAAGACAGCTGGATCCCACATGGCTGACTGCATGGTTCAAGTCCCGGAACCTGGCAGCTTGAAAAACACTCCAAGCACATACGTGTCCTAAGAGGAGAATGGAGGAAAGTGGAAGAGAAGGGATTGTGGCATGGCCATCCCCCCTGGGGAGTGAATTCCCGCTTTCTCTGTGTGTATGTCTCTCTCGTCTCTCCAGTGAGTACACGCAAGCTTTAAAGCAAACTGGAAAAAAAAAAGGCAGCCGGTCCTCAGGCCAGCAGTGGGGTGGGAATGATGCCAAGGCACCACGATTCCAAAGAGCCTCTGCTTAGTTTGGGAGAAAGTGTCAGGGACTGGGAACCAGAGAGGAGGAGGCGAGGGACTCCCTGGGTCCACCAAGGGGCTGCTATGGACGTGCCAGCACAGGGCCAGCACGTGTCGGCGGTAGGTGAGAGTTGGCTGGGTCTAATGACGGATGAGGGTACGCTCCCCCCACTCCCGCCCCGGTGCACCCCAGCAGCTGGTGGGAGAGTCAATCATCCTACCTAAACCCTCCTACTCTCCCATTCAAAGACCTGCAGGACTGAAACTAGAGGTGAAAGGCCGCTGGCATGCCCACAGGGGACAATTATCTTCACATGTTTGTTACTTTGTAGAATAAGAATAAAATAGTGCCTGGCTTTGGAACCTGAAGACCAAGGTTCAAGACCAGCTCAGTTTTTGGGGCCTTGGGCAGGCGATCTGGGCCTTAGCTTCCTCCTGTGGAGTGGGGGCAATGGCAAGGCCTCCCTCTCCAAGTCATTGTGCCCGAGGACAGGATGCCCCGGTGGCTGTGTAAAGGCTTTGTCAATTGCCCACTTCCAGGTTCTCCCAGGCCTCTCGCCACCCAAGGCCTGAGTGGGCGGAATCCAGCTGAAGACCCGTGTCCGTGCGGGACCACGCACACAGGCAGCATGAACTGGGCGTTCCTGCAGACCCTCCTGAGCGGCGTGAACAAGTACTCCACGGCAGTGAGCCGCATCTGGCTGTCCGTGGTCTTCATCTTCCGCGTGCTGGTGTACGTGGTGGCGGCCAAGGAGGTGTGGGATGACGAGCAGAAGGACTTCGTCTGCAACACCAAGCAGCCGGGCTGCCCCAACGTCTGCTACGACCACTTCTTCCCCCTGTCCCACGTGCGCCTCTGGGCCCTGCAGCTCATCCTGGTCACGTGCCCCTCGCTGCTCGTGGTCATGCACGTGGCCTACCGGGAGGATCGCGAGCGGAAGCATCGCCGGAAACACGGGCCCAGTGCCCCGTCCCTGTACGACAACCCGAGCAAGAAGCGGGGCGGGCTCTGGTGGACGTACTTGCTGAGTCTCATCTTCAAGGCCGCCGTGGACTGTGGCTTCCTCTACATTTTCCACCGCCTCTACCAGGGCTACGACATGCCCCGCGTGGTGGCCTGCTCCGCCAGCCCCTGCCCCCACACCGTGGACTGCTTCATCTCCCGGCCCACAGAGAAGAAGGTCTTCATCTACTTCATGGTGACCACCGCTGCCGTCTGCATCCTGCTCAACCTCAGCGAGGTCCTCTACCTGGTGGGCAAGAGGTGCATGGAGATCTTCGGCCACCAGGCCCGGCGGGCTCGGCGCCGCGGTCACCTCCCCGAAACGTGCCCGCCCTATGTCCTCTCCCATGATGGGCACCCCCAAGATGGGAACTCTATCCTGACGAAGGCAGGGTCAGCCCTGGTGGATGCAGGTGGGTATCCGTAGCCTGCGAGGTCAGCAGCTTGGATCATCTGGAGCCCCCACCTGCTCCCTGAGGCCACCCAGGCCACGCAGGGAAATGGGTGCGGGCAGGGCATCTTTTCTGTAGCCGAGCAGGTGAGGATGGTGGTCATGGGAAGTTCACCCAGTGGCCAGTTCTCAGGGGTAGGCAGTTTGGTGCCTGGACCCCAAGCCTCAGGAGGGAGGAGGCTGATGGTTGGTGGGGATTTTGTATTTCACTAGCGCATGCCAACATCCTTAATAAATGTGGTTTTCCTACACTTCGCAGACCTGGCGGGGAGTGGGGGGTAGGAAAGAGGGGGTTCAGAAGGACTTCGAGAGGAGGCCAAAATCACTCCATGGGAGCCTGAGTCCTGGACCCTCAGATCCAGGCTCAGCAAGCACCCCCAGTGCACACGGCATGCTGCCAGGACATGGCAGGGACTGCTCAAAGACAGAGGCCACTGCCCCAGCCTCCGGGCCCTGCAGCCAGCCAGCAAGTAGGGAGGCGAGTGCCAGGGGAGCTGCAGCAGTGGGCCACCTCTCAGAGCGCCCATCAGCCATCCTGCCACATGACTCGAGAGGTTCGGTCTCCCCGTTTCCCGCCCCCGGCCCGGCCCAGCACAGGTTTTGGGTAGGCGAGTTCCCTTTGTCACTGGGAGGGGCAGTGCTGAGAGCAGACCAGGGGCGGAGTCTGCCAGGGACTCTCAGAGGGTATCCCTGTAGGCCAGGCACACTGAAAGTGGATTAAAAGGTCCCTTGGGGACCCTCAAGTCTGAAATGTCCTGTCCTTGGACAGGTACACTCCCTGAGCCACCTCAGCCTGTCCCACCTGCCTGCCTTTCAGACCTTGACAACCCCCAAAACCCGACCTCCAACCCGACCTGCCTCCGGGTCCCACCAGCGTCCCACTGGACACGTCTCCGGGAGGTCCACAGGCACCTCACACTCAGCAACTCCCAAATGACCTTGTCACCTTCCCCAACCCCCTCCTCATAGACCCTGCACCCCACCACTGACCAAGCCCAGACTGGGCGAGCCCAGAGCAGGACGGTCCCCTCGGTCCTGCCCTCCCTCAGCCCACCACCCCTCAGCCGGGTCCCTGCTCCAGGCTTCAGTCCCTCCCTTAGTGCCTGCAGCCTGCGGCCCTGCCCTGCCCAGGGCCTCCCAGTCGCCCCTCCACGGGGACCTGGTTACATATTCTGTACACGTCATCCCCCCGTTTGAAAATTTTCCACCACCACCCACTGTGCCCAGCCTGAGCCCCGCTGACCTCCCACCCTGGTCCCCCACCCCCTGCCTCCTTCCTACCCACCGACAGCACCCCAGGACACCCGGCTCTCTGAACTGCAGCATCAACTTGGGCTTTACCCTGCTAGTTCCTCTGCCTGGAATGCCCTTCCTGCCACCTCTGTGGCCCGTCCCCAAACCCTAGGAACAGCCTGAACCCCCTCTCTGCAGGCCAGCCTAGCACATGCCTCCACCATTGTTCCCAGAGTGCACCGGTCAGCTCCCCGAGTGAACCCCGGCAGCCGTGAAGAGCCTACCCGGGCTGGACACTGAGTCACCCGGGCAGCCAGCAAGTAGGGAGGCGAGTGCCAGGGGAGCTGCAGCAGTGGGCCACCTCTCAGAGCGCCCATCAGCCATCCTGCCACATGACTCGAGAGGTTCGGTCTCCCCGTTTCCCGCCCCCGGCCCGGCCCAGCACAGGTTTTGGGTAGGCGAGTTCCCTTTGTCACTGGGAGGGGCAGTGCTGAGAGCAGACCAGGGGCGGAGTCTGCCAGGGACTCTCAGAGGGTATCCCTGTAGGCCAGGCACACTGAAAGTGGATTAAAAGGTCCCTTGGGGACCCTCAAGTCTGAAATGTCCTGTCCTTGGACAGGTACACTCCCTGAGCCACCTCAGCCTGTCCCACCTGCCTGCCTTTCAGACCTTGACAACCCCCAAAACCCGACCTCCAACCCGACCTGCCTCCGGGTCCCACCAGCGTCCCACTGGACACGTCTCCGGGAGGTCCACAGGCACCTCACACTCAGCAACTCCCAAATGACCTTGTCACCTTCCCCAACCCCCTCCTCATAGACCCTGCACCCCACCACTGACCAAGCCCAGACTGGGCGAGCCCAGAGCAGGACGGTCCCCTCGGTCCTGCCCTCCCTCAGCCCACCACCCCTCAGCCGGGTCCCTGCTCCAGGCTTCAGTCCCTCCCTTAGTGCCTGCAGCCTGCGGCCCTGCCCTGCCCAGGGCCTCCCAGTCGCCCCTCCACGGGGACCTGGTTACATATTCTGTACACGTCATCCCCCCGTTTGAAAATTTTCCACCACCACCCACTGTGCCCAGCCTGAGCCCCGCTGACCTCCCACCCTGGTCCCCCACCCCCTGCCTCCTTCCTACCCACCGACAGCACCCCAGGACACCCGGCTCTCTGAACTGCAGCATCAACTTGGGCTTTACCCTGCTAGTTCCTCTGCCTGGAATGCCCTTCCTGCCACCTCTGTGACCCGTCCCCAAACCCTAGGAACAGCCTGAACCCCCTCTCTGCAGGCCAGCCTAGCACATGCCTCCACCATTGTTCCCAGAGTGCACCGGTCAGCTCCCCGAGTGAACCCCGGCAGCCGTGAAGAGCCTACCCGGGCTGGACACTGAGTCACCCGGGTCCCGACTGGTTCAGAAGATGTTTCTTAAATGAGTAAACGGCCCTGAGCTGCTCAGGGGACGGCCTGCATCTTGTTTATCTGAATTCGCCACCACACCTAGCCCAGAGAATTCAGCTATGTGTGTGTGTGTGTGTGTGTGTGTGTATGTGCTTTGTTTGTGTTGTTTTTGTTTTAACTAAAACCAGCCAAAAGATCTCATTTGAGCAAACTCTGTCACCTGGCCTCTCAGTTCTTGTCTCCACCCACAAAGCCCACTCGCATGTGTGTTCACACTCTGGATTCTTGTCTATACCGAGAGCTGCATCCTCTCCCGTCTATCCCTCACCCCTAACTCCCCCTGCAGGGAGGAAGGGGACGCTCCCAGTCCAGATCTGAGTCTGTCGGAGGCTGTCCCCTGTGGGCCGTCGGTAGCCCCCACGCCCACCCTTGACTGTAGGCCACACTCAGAGAGTCACCCATCTGGTTCCCTGAGGCAGCACCAGGAACAGGGGTCTGTGTGCCTGCCAGGGGAGGTGGGCAGGGAAGGCTGAGCTGAGCAGGACTCGCACAGGAAGAGAAGCTGCAGTAAGGCCTGGCCTGATCCCTGGGGGAAGGGCCTGGGATCACCAGTCCTCTGGAGGCAAGGCCCCTGCACTGTGGAGCTCCCAGGCAGTCTCTGACTTCAGGCTACCCCAAGGGGAGAGGGTTGGCAGGAGGAGGTAGGTGGCTCCAGCTCAGGCAAGCTTGATTCCCCAGGGGCACCCGATACAGCAGTCAGGGAATGAGGGTCCCCCAGTACATGGGACCAGGGCAGGGTGACATACCACTTACTGAGCCCCCGCCTGCAGGAAGAGCAGGTGCGCTCACCCCAATCCAGACTGCACACAGGAAGTGCTCTTAGCTGGAACCAGATGGCCCTGCACGGCTCGGCCAGGCTGTCCCAAGGGCCTGCCGTAA